AACTCTTTGGAAAGACAATTTGGTGCATCTTTTGATTTATGAACCTTTCAACCACCATAGTTTAAGCATTTATATTGTTTGCACACACTCTTTAAATTGATCATTTTTGTGGTTCATCTAGTCCTTTTTTTTTTCCCTTCTTATGTCTTCTAACTACTTTCTTAATTTTCCATAGAGTAATTTCAGTATAACAAATTTGAGGGCATTGCTCCTCGGTTCCTACTATATAGATCATTGGTCGATAAGCCTTGAACTACCTTTTCTTTGAGTAAAAAACATTAATACATTCTTTAGGATTTCCATCATAATCATATATTGTTGAAATTGCATGCTCACATAGAATTCTTAAGAATTACCATCTCTTGCAAACATATGTACTCCTACTCAAATTCACTATAATTTTTTTTCTTTTACCCTAAATGCACTTGGTATACTCCCTTCTCAACATAAATTGGTTACAATCTGTACCAAAGTCTTCAATTTTTCAATATTCTTCAAGATCTTTAAGCGGACTTTAATTAGATAAACTTCAATGCCTTATCTTTTTATATAGTATTTATCCCTCGGTTTAGTCCTACTTTCATCTAACATATGAATAATATGCTTCTTTCTAGCTTCAAGTATGTACGAATTAAAGTTGTCACATATATTATTGAATCCTAAATCTTTCTTGCTTATGCCACCCAATGTGTATCTACACCATGAATTAGGATCAATGTTTTGTAGACAAGCTTGTGCATCTTTATATTTCTTTTTTTATGTCGTCTATTATCTAATTGTGTTCTTTATTTGTATAAGTTATGGTTGTCTTGCATTGGAAATCTTAGAGATTTTTTCTTTGTGGCTTTTGTCTCTGAAATTAGTATAATGATACATCACAAAATATTAATAATTCATAATTAATTGATATGAAAAAATAATTGAGTTATATATATATATATATATATATGATTACCTAGTTATGTTATTCTAGAAGACCATTAACTATGAATAAATGCTAACCAATCAAACCCAACTTGCTTTCTTATCTTGTTAGATGGCAACCGTTACAATTGGATAGAAATTATATATTATTTACATCTTTGCCTACTATACTAATTAGAATCTAACCACCATAAGTGGTTTTAAGGAAAAACGCATAAACTACAATTAGACGTTAATAAGAAGCTAGTCTTTCCATTTATCCAAAAAAGCTAACAAAAATCCTCTCAAACATTCTATTAATTTTAAAGTAGCTTCTGCCATTATTGTCTTTAATTGTTAGTGCATAGTCCCATAGTTTAGAAAATTATTTCTTATGATCTCCGCATACTTCTTTTAGAGCTAACCTTCTTGCTCTATAAGCAATAGCCTTTGATATTTCTATATTAAAATTCATATTCACATTAGCCACGAATACACCTAATTTCTAGTATTATTCATCTTTAAAATGCTCCATGTAAGTCTCTCCTAACCACTTTCTTCCAATAATCCTATTTTTAAAATGGTAACAAAAGTTATGTTTTTTTTTTCTTTTTTTTTTTTTTTCTAAAGGTCTTCATCTAAAATGTTTCCTCGCTTGCTAGTTCACTAACATGAATTTTTCAATCACACTTTAACTTACACTCAATAGTACCCTTATCAAATCATCCTTCATATACCTAAAAATGCTATCTAATTTAATGAAAAATATTTTTAAAACATCTTTAAACAAATCGCTATTAGCAAATCTTAATCCTATATTAAAGAAAGGATTGACTATATCTTTTTTAGTGTCAAATTCTTCAAATCTTTTTCTCTTAGCACCATTAATCTCATCTTCAAATTCTATTAGGAACCTTGATTGATCCCTTTTCCCAACATCAAACACAATATTGTCATCATCTACTTTATTCAAAGCCTTTCTAACAAGAAGCTTATGAATTCTAGTTTTCTTGGAAGCAATATCCTTAGTAGAATTAACTTGCACCATCGAAATGTCAAATAAATCCTCACATCAGAGGACTCATAAGTGAATATCTCAATCTCAACCTCCTTGAGGATAATAATCTTCATTTCTTTCATTTTCATAATGAACATCATTAGCAACTTTTTTTCTTCATTTTAGCCATTATCCTTCACATTAGCATTTTTATTAACTATAGTTCCTTTAACTTCAAATCCATCATAATAATCATCTACATAATCATTAGCATTGTAAGTCCAATTCATGATTATAAACAATCCCAAACTTCATTATTTGTAATATTTTTACCTATATTGTGACTATGACTAGTAGGTAAACTATTAACAACAAAGCTAACACCATCACCAAGAGCACCATAACCTTCATTTGTTAGTGTAATTGGTCAAAATTGTTTTCTTCAACAAATTCATCCTCTTTTGGTTCAAAACTAGGTCTATTTGAATTCGACTCAACACAAATGTCCATACTAATTTACCTATAGCTAGCCCTTGCACATCTAAACCATTTCTGTTACTTGGTTGTAATTTCTTAGCAAAACCAAACAAGAAATTCCAAGCCTAGCATAATAGCATCTCTAAAAAGCAAAAACCCAGTACTTTTCTTACATTCAGATTCAATATGAAAGAAGCTAACTAAATCAGGATATATTCTACTAATAGTACTAACATCTTCACTGACATAATACCTAACCCCATTTTCCTTAATAATCCCTAAAATGGACTTCATATTTTGGTCTCCATGTGTTTACCATACTATAGTCACAATATGCTAATTATTTTCCATGTTTAAGGTTAAGACAACACATGTAAAACCAATGCATGTGGGGGAAAAAAAAACAACGATAATGATTAAACCTTAAATTTATAAAGCATGAAACAAAAATTATTCAACAAGCCTCAAACTTTAACTAATAGAAATTTCGCTAACGCAACAGAGATTTACTATGCTAATGAAGAGAGTTAATTGTGATATTAAGTTTAAATCATGGTTTTACCTTAGTCCTGTAAGTGTTCTTCACACAACAATGATTTTCAATCTTACATTTAAGAGAAGAGAAGAAAACAATTCTTCAACTAGTTTAAAGAATGATTTACGAAGATTCTTTGGTTTGTATGAAGGAGAATCTAATTTTGAGTTTAGGTTTTCAGTTCCAAAATAACAATTATGACATAATTAAGACAGTTGGTGGAGTTTAAGAGGGAAATTAATCCACACATGTGGTAGGCTGGACACACCTACGCTTGTGTTTGATACTTTTTTTTCTTTTTTTCTTTTTCGTTTTTTTTTTAAGAATATGGTTTGCACATATTGAGCTGAGAGATGTATTTTCAGTAAATAAAAATAAAAATAATTATCTACAAATTAAATGACTTTTTTTTATAGTTTAATCAGAAAAATTAATCAGAAGATAAAATGAAAACTTGCTTAAAATACAAATATATAATCAACTTATTTTAAAATATAAAGATAAAATGGATAGTAATCTCATTATAAAATGACAGACCGGATATTTTTTCTAAAAATTAATCTCTATATTAGATGAACTTGTGGACACCATTACTTGATCATTGTCTCTCTCATATATAGAGGCCAAGGCCGCCGAAGAACCCGTCATCGACTACTCCTTTCACATTCTTTATTTTGCATTAGAATCTAATCTAGCTATCTCAATTGCAAATCTCAAGCTTTTTCGTTCTTATATAGATACGTGGATATTCATGGAACCCCACGTCGATGATTTAAATTAAGAAACATAATAATGTGTTTTTCTTGTTTCTATTGTTTTTATTTCGTCCCTCTCAAATGTTGTTTATTCTCTAGGTTTGTTAGTTGAAATCTACAACACAATCTTGACAAGTATTTTAACCCTTACATCTTGACATGCTAATGTAACAAACAAACTAGCATATTATAGATATGCATCTTCAACATGCATGCATTTTGTGTGATATATATAAGCCATCGGTTAAGTAACAAATTAAGAAAGTTAATTAATGGCATATGTTCGTTAATGAGAATATGTTGTTGTTCATTGACAATGTTTATGGATAAACACACGCAATTTCCTGCTATGTTGATTTCAGCGACACTGGATAATCCCATATCTCCATGTGACACTATGACACTCCTTTTTCAACATATTTAGCAAAAACTTGTCTCAATTTGCAAAGACACAAGTAAGACTTGCAAAACTAGATCAGTTTACATCATAATTAGAACCCGTGTAACAACGATACTTAAGAATCTAATGATGTTATAAATTCTGTTGCTTGATATTAGTGCGGCTGCGTGTAGGCCCATAAGATCTTCTCAAACCTTCTTTTTTGTCCCAACTTTGTTCCCAAATCAGAATCTTAATCTTGTGTAAATTGGTATCTTTGTCAGATCATCAGAGCTCAACTACTCTTAGATCTCTTGAAATATTTGCATGCTGTAGATCATATGTATGTATTTTCTTCATGGTGCATGATTTTGGTTTTAGCATGGAATTTAAAGTCTTAAGCTCCTTCATCTAGGATTTGATTGGTGGGGACTTGTAGAAATGTTAACACAACCACTATCATTATAACAACAAGGCCGAGGCATTGTTAATTTTGAGCCATTAAAAATAAATAAATAAATTTAACACCCACCCCCCGTCAACCACCATATTCGGTGTGGATCTTATAGGAAGATTGAGTTAACGGAAGCTTTGACAAGATGACAGAAATGAACAGTTGTCATTGGAGATAAAAATGTCGTGTGTAAAAAGGGTGAGATTTTTGATATTGCTTGCATTACAGAATCAATTATTGATGTTTTGCTCTTTTTTTATTCTAAAGAACCAGGCAAGTTGTGGGGACCATTTCTATGTCGAAGCTTGAAAGACTTCCCTATATATATGAGGGTTACTGACAAAGTTTTCATTCAACCATTCTATTCCTTTTCAGCTCCTCTCTCTCTCTCTCTCTCTCTCTCTACTTCCACACCTAACAGCTTTCTTAATTTGAGAGTAGAGGCCTTAGCCCTTACTATCTTGTGCAAGAAGAGCTTGTTACGTGCAAGAAATCTAATTATGGCCGTAGAGATTGAGCAACCCTTTGTTGGACTATCAAAAGTTGCAGTTTCCGAGACTCATGGAGAGGACTCTCCATACTTCGCAGGCTGGAAGGCATATGATGAAGATCCTTACGATGAATCATCTAACCCATCAGGAGTCATACAGATGGGACTGGCAGAAAATCAAGTAAGTCCCTGCAGGACGATATATGTCAAGCATTGACTAAAGATTTTATATTTTAAACCTTTCCAAAAGTTTCTCACTTAAGCTAATGCACTTGTTGTTCTTTCTTGATCAGGTTTCATTTGATCTGTTAGAAGAGTACTTGGAACAGCATTCAGAAGCATCTAGCTGGGGAAAAGGAGCCCCTGGCTTTAGAGAAAATGCCTTGTTTCAAGATTATCATGGACTCAAATCTTTTCGACAGGTAATTATTATTATTTTTTTCCCTTAAACCACAATAACTTGCCTCTTTGTATTCCAAGACAAACGTACAGTAGAAAGAAAATCCTGACTTGTCAACTGCATTTGTAAGCAGGCAATGGCAAGTTTCATGGATCAAATCAGAGGTGGAAGAGCGAATTTTAACCCTGATAGGGTAGTCCTGACAGCAGGAGCAACTGCTGCTAACGAGTTGTTAACCTTCATTCTAGCCGATCCTGGTGATGCTTTGCTAGTTCCAACTCCGTACTATCCAGGGTAAGAACTGGTCCTCAATGAACTTCTCTTGAAACTACCTTATTTCATGCGTATTAGTCTTTGATCACCAATTGTTCTTGATTCCAGATTTGACAGAGATTTAAGGTGGAGGACTGGTGTAAAAATTGTACCAGTGCATTGTGATAGCTCGAACAATTTCCAGGTCACCACTCAAGCCTTGGAAGCTGCATATAAGGGCGCAGTAGCCATGAACATCAAAGTAAGAGGGGTACTTATAACAAATCCTTCAAATCCACTTGGTGCCACAATCCAGCGCTCTGTCCTCGAAGATATTCTTGATTTTGCCATCCGCAAGAACATTCATCTTGTGTCCGACGAAATCTACTCAGGATCCACCTTCTCTTCATCTGAATTCATAAGCATCGCTGAAGTTCTTCAAGCTCGTGAATATAAAGATTCAGAAAGAGTTCACATTGTTTACAGTCTTTCTAAAGATCTTGGTCTTCCAGGTTTTAGAGTTGGAACTATATACTCATTTAATGACAAAGTTGTTACCACTGCGCGAAGGATGTCTAGCTTCACCTTGATTTCTTCACAAACACAACATCTCCTGGCTTCCATGTTGTCTGACAAGAAATTCACAGAGAATTACATTAAGACAAATAGGGAGAGACTAAGGAAGAGATATGAAATGATAATTCAAGGATTGAGAAATGCCGGGATAGAGTGTTTGAAAGGTAATGCTGGGTTGTTTTGCTGGATGAATTTAAGTCCATTGTTGGAGACACCTACAAGAGAAGGTGAATTGGCTCTTTGGAAGTCTATCCTTCATGAAGTGAAGCTAAATATATCTCCAGGTTCTTCTTGCCATTGCTCTGAACCAGGATGGTTTAGGGTATGTTTCGCTAACATGAGCGAGCAGACACTAGAAATTGCACTTAAGAGAATACATAATTTCATGGATAAAATAAAAACGCCAAGCAATTGAATTTCCTCTACAGTAGAAGTCTCCTTTTTTTTTTTTTTTTGTTTCAATGGCTCCAGCCATTTTGATTCTTTTAGATGACAAAGTCCTCTTCGCAGAATTGGGTTTGTCTCATTCTATTGTAAATCAGACTGCAATCACATATGTATTCTTGTTTTCTTGCTTTGCTAAGCAAGTTCTGTACAATTACAAATTCCATTTGTATAATTGTAATACTACTGCAAGATGTTTTCACCCAAAAGTTCCTTTTATTATGTCTTTGACTTGGTCACTATTTTATTCAAGCAAGCAATGCACTTTTTTTTCCTAATAAATAAGAGCTTAAAACTCGATTTTTTTTTAAAAAAACGAGTTATTCCACCTATTCCACAAATAATGATAATTTTGGAAGATACTTATCATTGTTATTTCTGATAATAAAAATATTTTACGTATTAATATGAACAACAGAAGTAAAGTATAGACTTGGCAGAAAACCTTCTGTGTGTCTGTTTACCAGCCATGACTAATTTACTGATTTTATACTCTGTCTAATAATTTCTTTACAACTCATTCTATCTTATATTTCACTTTCTAACTTCACAATCTCGCGGGGATGGGGGAGGCAGGCCTTGACTATTGTTGATCTTACTGCATCCCACAAACTGAGTCGCTGCAGTTCTTTGATCAATTGCGTAACAAACAATCATGTTTAGAGTGTTGATATTATTAATAGCAGCTAATAAATTAACAAATGTGGGTTTGAAAGATTATGATAGTTAAGCGGCTGCTTGGGATCAAAACCATAACTGTGTGTGTGTGTATATATATACACCTCATGGCTAGGTTGGAAAGTTGACTCAAATCGAGCTTTTGACATTTGATATATAGTATATGCCTATATTTGCTTTCTATTAACCGGCTTAAACAATATATTGTACTCATTCTGTCATGATTAGACCATGCTCATTAACACTTGGCTTGATTAAGATGTACTAATTAATAATTACATAAGATATGCATGGCCTGATTAAGATGTAATTATTAGATAAGATTTGGTGTGCAATAATTCTCATGTAATCCTCGCTCAATACCAAACGAATGGTCCACCACCGGATATCATTCCAAATCAAAATCAACCACTGATTAGCTATAGAGCTGCAATGACCATACAATATTACATTATTTATAACATGATGATCATAAGATTAGTTATTTCATCGATCATATCATTGTATGTTGGGTGCTTCGTATGATAACTATATATTTTACGTCAACTTTCTAAGCTATAGCAAGGTTTGCTATATTATGGTGCTAAGGATCAAGAAATCTGAATCTATACATATATATCAAGCAATTATTATGACCTAAAATCTTAAACTATTATTATTAAATGAATTTAGTATCCTTCGAGTGAAAATATTTTAAACTTAAAACTCATATAGAATCACTATTATTATTTATTTAATTTTTAATAGATTAACAATATAAAATTGATGAGATTTGGATCCATCAACCATTTGGTACTTAAAATTTTAACACCATATCGGATAATCATTTCAATAAAAAAGTTTAGCGTATCATATAAAATTTTAAGAATTGTTTTATATTAACTCTTTAACAATGTGTATAGAATTGCATAATTACTTGGTTAGATTAACTCGCCTTTGGTTGCCTAGTGGTAAAGCTGGGAGTTTCCTCGGTTGACCATCATGAGTTTGACTTCCAATTTTGCTAATGTAATTATACTATGATTCAACCGGTCTATAGGTTGTGAGTTGCTTCGCTAAACTCACAAGTTTTTATAGCTCGTGATAGTGATAAGGATAAGACTCCCTAATCTCATACTATTATCGATATGCAATCTCTTACCGTCTCTTATTGCTATTGATATACTACTTACCGATATACAATATTTTGCGGTCTCCTATTGCTACCGATATAGTTAGCTCTTATCTTTAGCTAATAAATACTTCATGCTTATCATACTCTTATACATGTATATAAGTAACCACTCGTAACTCACATTACATAATAGAGAATCGGTAACTTTTCATGGTATTAGATGATATAAGTGACTTAACAATCCATTGTTCTATTTCTTTCTCTCTTTTTTTCATGTTAAGACTTAATAGTCTTTTTCTTTTTCCTCCGTTTTTTTTTTCTATCCAAGCATGTTTGCTACACCATAGGACAAGAATCTTGCCATAGTTTCTTCCTTTTCCATGGATTCTCTATCTCTTCCTAACTTTAGCACATATTTTTTTAACCGAAACTCATTCCCTCTAACTTTATTCTATGGAAAACACGGTTTCAACCTCTTCTTTATTGCCATAGTTTGCTGCACCATGTTGATGGCTCCTAAACATCTCCCATTCCTACCATCAATGACAATGAACCTAATTCAGCTTTTTGATTTGAGAACGTAATGATCAATTAGTTCAAATTTAAATTATTGGATCCTTAATAGAGGTTGTTTTTCCTCTTGTTATTGGTGCCTCAACAAAAAAGATACTAAAATTAATGTTCCTTCGCGTAAAGAATAATGCTTATTTCATACTTATTCTCTTAGTAAAATTCATAAACTAACTTTTCCTTTATCTGATTATGCAAAAACAACATTAGAATTAGTTAGTTCTAATCTTTAGGGTCCTTCGTTGTCCCTTCAATTGATAGTTATTCATAATATGTTCTTTTTATGATTATCATAGAAAATATTACTAGTTATTTTTTCTTTAATATAAATTAGAATTTCTTAGTTGTTTTATTAAATTTATGCATGTTTTTTTTTTTTTTTTTGCCAAACCCATTAAATAGCTTCAGTTTAATTAGGGAGGAGAGTCCCAAGCCTTAACCAAATACCTTATTGAAAATGGCATTTCTAAAAGAAGTGTCCGCCCAAGACACCTAAAAAAAATGGTTGTGCTAAATGAAAATACCGTCATATTGTAGAAACGAGCTTAGCACTCCTTAATCATGCATATGTTCCATTAACCTTTTGGACCTATGCTTTTGGTGTTGCCATTTATACCATTAGCCACCTTCTTACCCCAACCTTACATAATAAATCTCATTATTTTACTCTTTTTGTTACCACTCCTCCCTATGATCAACTCGGAATTTTTTGGGTGTTTATGTTACCCATGGTTATGTCCATATTCTCTTTATAAACTAGTACCTTATTATTTTTCTTGTGTGTTTTTAGGATATAGTAAAATTTACAAGAATTATTTATTTTATGAATTGCCCACCAAAAAAATGCATGTTTCATGCCATGTCTTATTTGATGAACGGGTATTTCCTTTTGCTTCATCAAGTTAGACTTTGCCGATGCTCTATCCTCGTATAAGTCGGTATTCCTTTGCCACCGTTACACCTAAATATTCCACTACCATGCCTAACCCTACCACTCGTACCACCCAAATATTCCACTATCGAACCAAATATTTTCCAATAGACTTATATCCTTACCCCTACCATAAAATCTAGTTCCAGTCGTAGCACCACAATAGGACATATATCAATACTTGTCTCATCCACCAGCCACGCACCAACAGACCCTTACACCATACACTAGAAATGCTACTAACCTATATCTAACCACCCATGCCATAAACCTTGCCAACTCTAGCTTTTGATCCTCAAATATCCTTTAATTTGAACCTTAATCGTTATCCATTATCACAAACCGATCTAGCTCTAGCTCATAATCCATCCATTGTTCCAAAACTAGCTCCGACATCCATTTATGGGATGATCAAATGTACTAGAACTGGCGAGTCTTAAGCCTCACACCTTCACCACCGTCGTTCACTCCACTAAACCTCAAACTTATACACAAGCTCAACCTCACTCTCATTGGAAGATAACCATGGCCGCCGTAGTCCAAGCTTTATTGAATAACCATGTCCGGGAACTTATTCCTCACTAACCTTCATACAATGTTATTGGAAACAAATAGTTATACAAAGTGAAGACAAAAGCAAATGGTACCATTGATCGGTTCAAAGCCGGATTAGTGGCAAAAGGCTTCAACCAATGGCCTACCTTGGATTTTAATGACACTTACAGTTCTATTATTATACCAGTGGCACTTAGATTAATCTTTTCTCTTATTGTCTATCTACATTATCTAGTTGAATAATTAGACGTCTCAAATGCTTTTCTTCATGGACCATTGGAGGAAGATGTCTATATGACTCGAACCATAGGTTTTTGTTGATGCTTTGCACCTTATCCATGTTTGCAAATTGAAGAAATTCTTGCATGGGTTAAAAAAATCATCATGTCAATGGTTTTGGAGTCTCATTGATAGACTAGTTTCCTTGGGATTTAAGGGTCTCAAGTCGATATCTCTCTATTTTGTCAAAACATCAAGCACAAACATCATATTTTGCTTAACTTATGTTGATGATTTGCTTATCATGGGTAACAATGGCTTTATGCTTTCTTCTACAATTTTAGATTTTGTAGTCCATTTTTGCGAGTAAAGCATCTAGGTCCCTTCACTATTTTCTTAGGATACTGGCACATTGAGGAACAAGTTGTCTTTTTCTTAACCAAAAGAAATATGCTACTAATCTTTTAATTAAGGCACATATGCTCCAAGCTAAGGTTATCGGTACCTTACATGTCCAAACACTAAATTGCATGGGTCATGATGAGCACCTTATTTTCCGATCATGGACTCTATAGAAGTATTGTGGGATGGTTGCAATACCTTGGTATTACTAGGCTGGACCTAGCTTATTCCGTGAATAAAGTGGCACAATATATGCAAGCCCCAACCGATGTCCATTGGGTCATCGTCAAACGGATTCTCCATTACCTTTAAGCCACCAAAGATCATGGCTTATATCTTCAAAAATCCACCTCCTCTTCTATCCATGCATACATGGACTCTAATTCGAGAAGTGATATTGATGACCGAAAGAGCACATTCGGCCATGCCATCTATGTTGGCTAAATTTTGATTTTGTGATGGTCTAGAAAATAACGAACTCGTTACTCACTCTTCTACCTAA